AGTCCCTAGTTGCAAAACCCCGAAAAGTTATGAAATTACCCCAACCCACTGTAACGTGGAATTTAATCCTATTCTAATGTCGAATTTCACATCGATTAACTCTATACTGTCTATGCACAAAAACAGCCACACAAGGTCCTCACCCTCACCCATCCCAATTACTGTAATCCTCCATAACACTAATGATGAATTAACCCCAAAATAGTATCAAGTTTTCATATCAATCAACCCTAATTTACCTATCGAGCAAAAACTGTAATCATCCCTAATATCAATAAGGGAATAACCCTAATATAATGTCGAGTTTTATATCTGCTAACCGGAAATTATCTATAGAGCAAGAACAGCCACACTAAGGCAAACTCCATGCCGTAATTTTAGCAGAGCCGAGCAGCAGGCTTCACACAACCAGGCAGAGACCATCCCAAAGTGACAGACCTGATGATGTGGCAGCATGAGGCTCATCATTCCAGATGATCCCCGCCTCATCCTCTAATGTCCTACAGACAGTATCAAAATTTATATCTGTTAACTGCAAATTATCTACAGAGCAAAAAGCAGCCACACTATGCCAAACCCCATGCCCTAATTTAGCAGAGCTGAGCAGCAGGCTTCACAGAACCAGGTAGAGACCATCCCAAAACGACAGACCTGATGAGGGGACAGCATCAGGCCCGTCATCCCAGGTGATCCCCGCCACGTCCTCTATTGTCCTACAGGCGGAAAGCGCCATCCAGTAAAAAGGGGGTGAAAGAAAAGCAACACCAACAACCTCACTGATTAACCACGATAATCGGTCCAAATTTTGAAAAAAGCACGTGCAAAACTATCCAATCGATAATCCAACCCTAGGATCATTTGTCTTGTCAGCACCAAAAAGCACAAGACCAACCTCTGTGGCGAACCCTACTAGTATCCGTTTGCGCCCCAGATGACATGTGTCTTCTTCTTATTCAATGATGATGTTGATAATGACACGCGTCTTCCTTTTCAAATTAGGTTGAAACTTTCGGATAGGACATAAGTTATAACTTGAGCGGTAATCCCATGAACTGTTGAAATACAGACACTGAGTTGGAATCCACCTGGTGCCCGTAGGTTCGTCGACGATGAACACCTCAAGGCTTTGTTCGAAAAGAAAAGAAACCACTAGTATCTTTCCCAGCTATGTTTTCAAAGTTGTGGCTTGCATGCTGCCACAACTTCCAGAGCCGCAACTTTTGGGGCTAGGCTGGCGGCGCCAGGAAAAAGTGGTTAGAGCACTGGTTGGAAACGTGCATTGTGGTATGAGGTTGCGGGTTCAAAACTCCGCAGCCTTGTGCATGGACCCTGGCAGGGCGTTAGAATGATGCACGGCTGGACACACACACCCTTGGGATGATGCAGGTAAGCTATTACAGCCACTGCCTGCGCACCACCCAAGGGGTAGTCCATGGTTGTTGTATGTGGGGACTGCGCGATGGTGGGTATCCTGATATTCTTGATCTACAGGGTTGTCATGAGACTGCTGGGTGGTTTGCACAGTCCGGTTTACTCGAGCCCAGCAGAGCACAGCTACAGATTATTTCACAGTGTAGGTCAATAGGTTAGGTCACTTGCACGATTCACATAAGGTCCTGTGTTCGATACGAGACTGTAACTTAGGGCTGGTCATCCTCCTAGTACGTAGTCAAAGGATTGAGGCTGGCATAGCAGCTCCTTAGTACGGGATGTCGGGAGTGTCAGGAGATGCTGCACTTTACCGCGGGGCCGGAACGGGCTCCAGGGACATACGAGGGAATGGAGGATTGTCGGCTCTCAGATTACCATACAACACAGGGTTAATAGATCATCCAGGGTCAATAGATACAGTCCACGATTCACGATTAAGGGTGGGCTATCCTCCTGGTACGTAGCTTAGAGTTGAGGCCGGCAGAGCAGTCCTTAGTACGGGATGTCGGGGGTGTCAGGAGATACTGCACCTTACCGTGGGGTCGGAACGGGCTCCAGGGATATACGAGGGAACGGAGGATCCCCATCTCTCTACCATCAACACCATAGAACACTGTAGTAAGACAACATAAGGATAAGAAACTCAGTCCATAACTCATGACCTAGGGTTGGCTATCCTCCTAGTACGTAGCATAGGGTTGAGGCTGGCATAGCAGTTCCTTAGTACGGGATGTCGGGCGTGTCATATTGCACCTTACCGCGGGACCGGAACGGGCTCCAGGGACATACGAGGGAATGGAGGATTCCCAGCTCTTTATCATCACCACACAACTAAGCTAGATGGGAGTCACTGTGCACCCTCATGAAGACCTGTAGAAGCATGTTCATACCTAGCTCCTGAAGTCCCCGTGCAATCAGGCTTGCACGGCGTCTGCTTCAACCGGGGCTGAGCAGGGGGTAAGGGGTCTCTGCTTAGCCCCGGTGCCTGCAGCCGCTGTCTGGTCAGGTCACCCCGCCAAGATGGCACTAGGGTAGGACAGGGGGGGTGGGGGTGCGCCAGGGCAAAAAGATGAGAGGAAGGGTGCGTGGGGTCTTCAGAGGGGTTCATCAGGACAACCAAGTGGCCGAGTACTGTGGGTGACTGCCATCCGTCTAGTATCCCACCTCTACAACAACCTGGGCTGAAAAAAAAAAAAAAAAAAAAAAAAAGAGGAGGCCCGCACCAGTTCGGTGTCTTTTGGCGCAACAGCGCGTTTCCAGGCCCGGAGAAAAGTGCCTCGGACGTACAGGTGGTTTGCACAGCTGTGAGGCCGTACTTCCCCACATTCTTTGCATCCCACCTTAATGTGAGGCTCCTCCTTTAAATTTGGGTGGAGAATGCGCCTGGCCATGCACGTTGTTCAAATTCATCTCAGAAAAGGTGAACTCATTTTCCCTTACTACTGCAGAGAGTTTACCTCTGACTCTGCCAGATCTACAAATTTCGTTTTCAATATTTTTTAAGGCCAGAACGACGCTGGTCGGTGCTGGGGCTTGGTTGCGCTGCCCTGTAACTCAAGCTGTATGAGGGCATGAGACCTGGTAGAGAGATCTGGGGAGTTGTAGAGGGTGGAAGGCACTCTAGTGCCTTTCGGTGAGCTGGTGCCTAGTCGATGTTGGCCGGAGCCGGGGCGGGTCGCTTTGCCCTGTGGCCCAGCAGGTGGGGGTTTTCTGGGGTGGGTCGTGCCACCCTGTAACCTGGCAGTTGGGGGCATGAGGCCTGGTAGAGATTGGGCATCGGGATACAGGGGTGAGGCAGGTAGGGTTGGGCTGCTGAAAGGCCCTAAAGCAGGTGGTTGTTTGGTTCTGAATGCTCCTTTGATCCGAGCTTTGGAGGTAGAGAATTTTAGCGTTCTTGTACACAGTTGTTTTTCTTAGCCAAATCCGGGTAATGGCTCGGGTACCTCAAGGATTTTCCCATAAATTTCTCAATTTCTCAATATGATCTTGAACGGGACGCTGGGCCCGGTTCCCAGCACGTGCTGCTCCCCACGAATAGATTGGAGCATGCTCTATTAAAAAAAAAAAAGGCTTTTTAATCATTTGTTTTGGAGTTTTTATTCCCTTCACAATGTATCTCACAGTTTTGTGGGACCCGGCCCGGCCCCAGGGGTGGGTCCTCGAGTCCCATTGGTGGGGAGTTACAATCCTACTAAATTATCCTAGTACCTAGACTACCAGAGTGGCCCGGGGTCACTTGCCCGGCCGGTCCAAAAGAAATAAAAATAAAATTTTATTTTTTATTTTTTGTTCTAAATTTGGTGAAGAATTTTGATGTGACCCTGAGGCAAACGTTGTTCAGTTTATTTTTCTGCATAACATAGTTTTTCCTCGGACCTTTTGGATTTGTTTTTTCTTTTTTTTTTTACTGGGACCTTCCCTGGTCCTTCCACGGGCTGGCCACCCGGGACCCGGGCGGCCCGGCTGGTAGCCTAGCCTAGTACAGTGTGACATGAGTGACAGACTATCGCCATCGGATCTAGATCCTACCAGAAGAATTTACTAAAATGCCCAGGGTCCTCATTTCTAGCCCAGTAAACTATGACCCCCTCCTTTTCTTCCTTCTTTTGACACAGTCTCTGAAGAAATCTAGGTGGTTGGTCTGTCTGTTGTCGGATACAACTGTCGCTTCTCTCTTAAAGTTTACCTTTCCTCTGTCCCTACTATTGGTATAGCAGATCTTTTCCGGCAGCCCGTGAATCTAACAGAGGCAGATAAACTGCTAGTACACGGCCCCAGCCTTGCAGAAAGTTTTTGTCGCCACAAGCAAAACTCGGAGGCGCCACGAGGCCAGGCCCGCCGTTGGAAAAAAAAAATTGTTGGCCTCCGGGTTTCATGCTGACACCCACGGGCCGAAATGTGGTGTACTGGTGCTATAAGGGCTGGCTTTTTTTTGGGGGGGCCCCTGGCTGTTGCATAAATCCAAAACTGAACAAAACACCTGCTAGTGGGACTTGGCCCCAAGGATGGTGGCCTGGGAGCGGCGCCATCCGCCTGTACAATGGCATATTCAAGGACCAGTACATCTGAGCCTCTTTTCGCTGTGTCGGATTTGTGTCGTGCGCGAAGTGGCGCCAAACTGCCAGCAGTGCTTTTTTTCTTTCTTTTTTTGGCTGGTTCCGCCAGTCATTTTGGTACCACGGCTCAGAGCCTCGGAACTTTTTGGAACAACTCATTTTCGGTTCTCAAGTTGCCTGAGCCGATGTACTGGAGGTAGGACAGGAAGTGATGTGACTTCTGGGAACCATCAGTCCGGTTGCTTATCACTGGCAAGCATGAAGAAAAGATTCCGAAGCGGATTGAGGGGCATCATCCATACGTTCGACACCTCATCTGTGTATTCGTTAGTGATCACAATGAGAGCAATTAAATAATGACACTAATTGAATAAAAGATGAGTTGCTCAACGTTTCTGGTTGTTCGGTCTTGTGAGTCTTCTCGGCATTTCATTTCATATCCAACAGGTGGCTTACTGCTGTTTGTGTTTGTGCTTGGTCTGTGGCCTTATTCCGTATTCAAAATCTTGGCAGTTTGTTGACGTCTTGTCTCTGGCCAATATCAGCGTCATTTTCTTTGAGGTATGTAAGTCAAAGCAGAAACCTAATGCATCTCTCTCTCTCTCTCTCTCTCTCTCTCTCTCTCTCTCTCTCTCTCTCTCTCTCTCTCTCTC